CGAGTTCTCTTTGCGCCCCTTCCCCTGTCTGTAAGCCCCGCCGGGCCCGAGGACGACTCTGCGATTAGCCGTTTTCAGTTCCACCCTTCTAGCGTCCCTTTCATCTGCCGCGCCGCGCCAGCACAAGCAAACCGCAGGGGAGGCCGCCCACCCTCGCCTTCACGCGCGGAGCAGAGCGGGGCTCGCGGCGGCAAACGGAAGCGTCTTTTCGTCCTTCTCTGAGCTTCTCTGTTCGGCCCACTCTCGCCACTCGGAGTGTGGCGCGCCGACGGCATCGGAGGCGCTGCAGTGAAGTCCTAATAAGAGGCGGCGCAGCGGCGGCGACAGAGGGTCGACTTACGTTGCCTCTTACGCCTTGCCTCTAGCGCAGGGGTCTCAAACTCGTGGCTCGCGGCGAGCCGCGCATCCTCCTGCTCGAGCACTGTTGATCGTGAGCTCATGCAAAGATGGTTAATTTATGAAGACAGGTCATCTTAGCTAGGCAAGAGAGGAGTGCGGCTCCAGAAGAGTCATGCGACTCGGCTAGGAAAGCTAGAAAAGTGTAAAATGGCTCGCGAGCCGCGAGTTTGAGACCCCTGCTCTAGCGTATCCTCGCGGTGCAAGTTATGTCGTTTCGGCTCCACTCTTTGTCGGTCCCTCGGGAGTGTATTATTATATTTTGATGTCATTTCGTGCGCGTCTGACACCACCACTACTTACTTGTCGTACGTAAAGCCACCTCCTCGCTATGCGGCGTGATGAAAAGCAGTCGTAAAAGAACAAGTCGTGTCGCGCCCTCGCCGCCGCCGCCGAGGTGCGCGTCGAAGACGAGAAAGAGGGAGACGCGGCGGTTGGAGGGCGGGTCGGGGCCGGGCCGGGCCGGGCCGGGCCGGGCCGGGCCGACCAGGGCAAGGTCTATCTCTATGGAAATATTCCGCGAACATACGGCCGCGCCCGCCGCACCCCGCCCCGCCGCTGCTGGGGGAGCGCGGCGGCGGCGGCGGGGGTACTGTTCGTTCGGTTCCAAGCGGGCGCTTCGGTGATTTCACAAAAAAAAAAAAAAAAAAAAAAAAAAGGAAAAAAAGTTGGCTTTCCTCGCTTCTATGTCGTGCAGCAGCTCCGCACGGCGCAGGGCACGGGGGCCTTATGCAATATGTATAGTGAGGGGCGCATGTGTGCGTGTGTGTGTGTGTGTGTGCGCGCGCGCGCTGTGAGCAGCCCGCACGAGCTGTGCCGGAGTGTGTTCTGTTGAACGGCCCGGTTAGTTACGTGTAGGCGGGGCAGGCCCGTGTTCGCTATATGCACCCCCTCCCCCTCTACTCCATAACGCAGCGGGACAGGGGAGGGAAGGGGGCGGGGGAGGGGATTGATCCCGGAGCAAAGCGGCAAAAGGGGGCCTCACCCTCCCTCCTGGGCCGTATCGTATACACACTGCGGGCACAATCCCTTCAAGCCGGGCAGCCCCCCCCCCCGCAACGCCCGACGCGCCGGCAAACCCTTCCGTTCAAATCCCTCTAGAACCCCCGCGCCGCCGCCGCCTGGCCGCCCGGCCCTATGCCCGGCCAACGCAGCGCGCCCGCAGCAGGGCATGTCGTTTGGCAAATCGTCGTCGGTCAAATCGTCGTGGCTCAGCGCTCCCCCACCCCCCTTTTCCATCCCCCTTCAGCAAATCCACCACCAGCACCAGCCCCCTTCGCTCCATCCCTTTCAAAACAACCCCTATGGCTGCGGCCCGCCGCCCCCCACCAACGCCACGCCCCGCTGCTGTCTCGCGCTTCGTTGCCCTTTGTTACCTTCGGTGGATGCACGCGCGGGGGGCGGCGGGGGCGACGGGGCTGATGGAGGTGGGCAAAGGGAAGCAGGGGAGTCAAAGGGACGCGGGGGATACTGAAGGGCGGGGC